GGGTTTTGGGCGCTTGTTCGCGTTCGGGCGAACATGTTCGCGTTCTCCTCCAAACGCGAACACGGTGCTACGTCGGTTTTCTGTATATTGTTCTCGCTCATATTCCTTGCATATAGCTAGGCTACCAGCTGGGCCACCCGGGTCACCCTGTTTTCCCGGGCAGCCCCACCATGAAAGGACAAGGAAGGTCCCAGCAAAAAAAAAAAAAAAAAAAAAAAAATGTTATGCAGAAAAACAAACTGAACAACTTTTGCCTCAGGGTCACATCAAAATTCTGTACCAATTTTTTTTTTTTTTTTTTTTTTTTTTTTTTTTTTTTTTTTGTCTTGCCACTCTGTGTGAGTGTCTTTTGGTTTTTGAATGAATTTCCGTGTGTGTGTTGATGTTGCAGCCATGGATGCAAAGTGTTACACATTGTGTCACACAGGCCTGGGTAGGCCCGACAGATTGGGGTTCAGGGGCCGGTCCAGGCCCAAGGCCGGACCTTTAGCCATTCTAGGCCGTCGGTTGGCCCTTTTAGGCCACACCGACGGGCAGGCCCAAACGACATTACCGTTTGGGCCTGGCGGCGCTCTTGAGGCTGCCGCCCGCCGGTCTGATCTGAACCGTCGATCTGGACGATTCAGATCACGGCCAGGCCTCGCAGCATTGAGGCCGGCCTCTTTTCCACCGGTACTTAATACCGGTCCAGCCTCATTGTGAGGCATCGAGCACTGGGACGCTGCTGGAGCGCCAGTCGTTTCGGTTCTGAGCAGAGCAGCGGCATTGCGAGGAGCGCTGCGCTATTTTGGTTAGTGCACAGCGCTGGAGACAGCAGCGCTATTCCTAGCGCTGGACGGCACAGGAGTCAAGGAGCAGCGGGGAACTTACCTGGCACTTACCTGAGGCGCCATAGTTCCTGCTGCGCAGGTCTTCAGCGACATCCGCGTACCTGCAGGTGAGGCCTGGATTCGGGACAGGACAGCGAGGTTATTCCTCCTCCCTACCTCACCATCTCCTCCTTTTCCGCTGCCACCTGGCTCTTCTTCTTCTTCTTCTTCTTCTTCTTCTTCTTCTTCTTCTTCTTCAGACTGGAGACTTGATACTAGTTGGACAGAGATCAGTGTTGGACTTCGGTGGTAAGAGGCTGTGATACTTACCGGATTCGAGACTTGGAGATTGTTGGGGTTGATACTCGCCGGCATCACATACTGGACACCCGTTGCATTAGGACTCTGTACCTCCGACATTGGTGACTTATTGTCCATGACATTTTGATCTAAGACTTGTTCGATGACATTTTGGACTACCATATCGGTGACCTACTGGATTCTATCTCGGTGACATCTGGCGCTGCCTACATCTCCCACCTCCTTCGTCTCTTCTCCCACCTTTCATCTGTGTATGGTTGTACGGGGCCTGAGCATCATCTATGATTGGCTCAGACCCCACCATCTCACGATTGTTTGTGTGTTGGGTGATATCTGTATGAGTTCAGTCTATGTGAGTCTGACTCAGTCCATTTATCAGACTTCCGCTGCATACATGCTCATCCTATGTTGGTTGATCTCTTGGTTCTGCCCATACTTGTTGAAGTACTCACAAGTATGCAACAGTTTTGGTATCGGAGCAGACCAAATCATGGATCTGCTCACAAGGTAAGTCTGATTTAGGAATAGATTGCTCATTCGATCTTCCAAATCAGCTCTGCATTACTATCGAGATTCAAAGTTGCAAATTTTTTTTTTTCTTTTTTCGGTATTCTGTTTAATTAGGCATTCCGTTTCAATTCGGTATTCTGACTTTCAATTCGGGATTCTGTTTTAATCCGGTATTCTGTTCAATTCGGTATTCCTATTAATTGGTATTCTGTTTAATTCGATATTCTGTTTTAATTCGGGTTTCTGATTCTAATTCGTTGTTCGGTTTAAATCAGTATTCTGTTGTAATTCGGCTTTCTGATTTTAAATTCGGTATTCCGTTTTTATTTCGACATTCTGTTTTTAATCCGGTATTTCTGTTTTAAATCGGTAATTCTGTTTTATTTCGGTATTGGAAATTAGGGTTACGATAAATTTCGGTTTTTCATTCAAATTGGGAAATTCGAGTGTTTTGGAACCGTCAAACCGGAAATTCCGCGGAATCGCGGAAAATTAGGGTTGGAATCCGAAATTTTTGCGAATTTTTTTTTTTTTTCCTAGTTTGAGAAATTCCGAATACGGACTCAGGCCTTTAAAAATCGGATTTTGTAGGTTGAAATTCCCGAAATTTTATGTTTTTTCAAAAATTCGAGTGTTTTTCTTCCTGATTATCCGAATTTTTTTTTTTGGCAAACTGTCCGGAATCGTTCCCTCAGAAACTGCAACTTCCGGGTAGTTCACTAATCAACGGTGAACTCCCGGACCATAGGTGATCTCAACGAATACCTAATCTTTCCACAATTTAAAATTCGTTAATTATCATTATTGCAATTATTGTTTTATTGATTATTATTAAAAGAATATTAATTCGTTATTAATCATTCATTAAATTTTTATTGATTATTAATTCATTATTATTTCTTATTACGAATTTTTTTAAGTTGTTTTGGGGAAAGTTCATCTTTTTCCTTTTGATTAGGTGTCTAAGTCCATAATTGGGACAGGGACTGTATGCGAATTGCTTGATCTGTTCTACCCCTGTGCCCACCCTTTTCACTGTTCTGTGACCTTTCGGACCGGCCAGCCTTCACCAGCAGTTTTCTGATGCCAACAGGGCAAGCCACCGAACAGCAGCCACGACGCAGCAAACGGATCGCTGATCTCCAACAGCAACCTGCAGTTCGATAGCAGCCACAAACCAGCACACAGATGGCGACCACGCCTAACAACGGAACATCGTCTGAGACTTTGACATCCAGTAATGCCGAACCCTTGCCGGTCTGTCCTGTTCAAGGGCCGAACGAGTCCATCACGGACTACATTCAGAGAGTGAAGACCTATACGGGCTCACTAACCCTTGCCAGGGAACGGCAAGATGCTGCTGAAGCAGAAAAACAGAGGCTGGCAGCGGAAGCTGCAGCCCAAGCCCAGCGACAAGCTGAGGCTGAGCAGTTGGCAACCGACAAGCTCAACGCCGACAGTGCCGACCTTCTGATCTCTCAACACGATCAGTGGGCAGCTGTGCTCAACGGGATGCGTTATGTCCCCGTAGCAGGCGCTGATCCGATGGCAGTACAGCAAGAGAGACAAAACCTGGCAGACATTCTACTATGCACAATGCGCGCACTTATCTGGAACAGCACCATGGGTGCCCTTCATTCCAGGTCTACACGGCAGCTGCAGCACGATCTTAACCATAACGTGAAGACGCTTGCAGCAGCCATCAAGATCGCAGACTCCCAGCTGCAACAGATGGACACCCACATTGCTGCTCTGGAGGCAAAGCCTTCCCAAGCAGTGCCAGGCGAGCGCATCGACCCTGTCGTCAATCTAATCGGCGAACTAGGTGATTTCACTAGTCTGGCCACGATCAGCAGCACAGTGGCCGCCATCAAGACGGACGTCACCAAACTGCAGACAAGACCGGACGCCGCTACAAGGACATACAAGATGCCGCACTTCAACATCAGCAAGTTTGATGACTACAACAAGACGAACGCCTTGACATGGCGGCAAAGTTTCTTCACGGAAGCATACTGCTGCATTGTCCTGGCTGAAGATATGATGAGGGCGCTCTACCTCCAACTGATTGGAGGAGCACAGGCATGGATGAACCATCTTGCGGCCACCAAGAAATGCACCATTGCCGAACTCCACATGCACATTCCGTGGAAGGAGTTCGAGCAACTGTGGTTCACTCGATTCATGGTCCGCAACGTTGTAAAGGCGGCCATGAACGAGGTCTACACCAGCTCACAAGGAAGCATGCCAACTCGAGACAGGACGATCAAGTGGCAGAAGATAGTGACCACGCCAGGTTTCGATTTGAGTTTTCCAAACCAACGATCCGAGTTCTTCTCGCGATCGTGCGCAGGACTGCGAACGACACTCAGCAACGAGTACGATTACGCCTCATTCCATGCTATTCTGGATCGTGTGAACCTGGTCATCCAAACGGATGACAAGGCCGCTAACGAACGGCAGTCCCAGACGCACTATGTGGCTAAGCAAGGCTATCAACGACCGGCACATAACAATGTCGTGATTTATGATGAATCAGTCGATCTCCATGCAACAACAGCATCCTCGAGTGATGGAGGAACTGTCGCAGCGCTCCCGCCGAAGCGTCCCAAGAGAGTTCGGAAGAACAAGGCGACACAAGCGACGACAACGACGGGAACTGGGCAGCAACCATGGACGGCATACAACACAACCAAGGAGGTATTTGACCTGCGTCAACGGTACGGATATTGCCTATGGTGCAATAGTGTAACCCACACTACCGCATAATGCGCGGACAAGGGCAAGGCACGCGTACCCCGTCCAGCTAACTCGGGAAACGGAGTTACGCAAGGAGAGGGGCAACGCCTCTCCTCACTCCGCCGGAACAGGTTGCCTTGCTAGCGATCGATGTCACTACCGGGGAGCATGCGTCAGTCGATGATTCTCGTGCTACGTACGAGGATTATGCCGCCCAACTGGTACCACCATTAGACCAGCCTAGCCACGTGCACTTAGATAGCGTATGCGCAGCTTGTACACCATCGGCAAGTGATTCGGTCAGCTCGCCACTGATTTCCGAGGACTTGACGGCGTGGTCAAGACTTGAGGAGCTTGACCCACTCACGAGAGAGGACTTCGCTTGGTTGCCTCTACCCTCAACTGGAACCTTGCCAAGGCCGCATTGCAACGCCTTGATGGCAAATCTACGCTCCTATTTGCACACTGCAATACCAGCTCCGTTGACGGACGACGGAGTAGCGGTTGTTGATCTCCGCTCCTATCTTGCGAAGATTGACCGCGAGTATGCCACCCAAAGGTACGCCGAGACCGGCGTGCCTTTGCTCTATATCCGCATTCAAATCGGAAAGGCAACTTGCAGTGCCTTGATTGATTGCGGAGCATCTCGCAATTTCATGAGCCAAGCCTTTATGGCCCGCGCAGGCCTTGGCCCGCGCGTTCGAAGGAAGACGCAACCTACGAAAGTTACACTCGCGGACGGCCGCACGCATAAGTCAATTGACCGATGCGTCGACGGCGTTCCGGTATACTTTGCGCCACTCGCGTGCGAGCCGGTGTCTTTTGACATCCTCCACACTAAGTTCGACATGATTCTAGGCATGTCTTGGTTGCGTAGCGCCGATCATCCGGTGAAGTCCCATGTACGGTCGCGACCCCTCACACTTCGATTAGAGTTTACCTGCCAGGAGGTGCAGGAGTTCTTATCAGGATATGGTGTAGTAGCCAACTACACCACGACCGCACACCCCCAGGCAAATGCTCCAGTGGAAAGAGTACATAGTACCATCACGAACCTCCTAGCTAAGTGGACCAAAGGTAGGCCCAATCAATGGCCAAGGTACCTAAGGGCGGCATTCTTCGTCGAGAACATTACAGTGAGGAGATCCACCAAATACGCGCCGGCTACGCTGTGGTATGGAAGGCACGCCACCTTCCCAATCGAGAGCTTTCTTAAGACTTGGAGGCGCCAGGATCTGGAAGTCAACTTGTCTTTTGAAGAGTTGCTCGATATTCGAGCGCGGCAAGTGGGGGCGATAGAGAACAGGATCCAGGAGGCGTCCAATCAAGTGGAGAGAAGCCGTATGGATGATAAGGCTCGCTGGGACCAGTCTGCACGAGTGAGGAAAGTACCCTTGGCAGTTGGGGACGTCGTGCTCCTGTACTATTCATCATTAGAGAAGCAATGGTCTAGGAAGCTCGACAAGAGGTGGTTAGGTCCCTACCGGATCGTGCGGTGTGGAGATTTTGGAGCATACCAGATCGAAGAGTTGAATGGGACTAAATGGAAGGACTGGGTATCTGGAACGCGGCTGAAGAAATTTGTGGCGAGAGAAGAGGTGAGAGAGATGATCTGACTTCCTCTAGAATAACAGCGATAGGATGTGTAGGTCAGATAGGTTGCATGCTGCATGGGTATGGTCTGGTCTGAGCTGCTTTGATTATCACCTATTTGCTTACCCCAATGTGTGCTTGTTGTCTCCTTCGCCTGTTATGCAGGTCTGACTTTACGAAGACAGCTGTGCCAAGAGGAGGGAGGGGGACACGGCCGCCACGAAGGCCGTTGGGGGCATCAGGAGGATATGAGCGGCATGGGCCTCGCCATCGAGAGAGTACTCCGGTGTATGATAATGGGGACATCGAGCTATTCATGGACAGCTTCTGGGAGCACCGGGGCGTATGGGCTGGACCGTGGCCCAGGCGATTGAGAGATTGAGGGGAGCCGGTAGGTTCGAGGAGCCCATTGCCCAGATCCGTAGGGAGGCGACGACGAGGACGGAGGTGGAGTTGAGAATGCAGGAGCTGCGACCCTCGCCTGTGGGACCTGATGGCAGGCCGATTCGCTTGAAGATCGGAAATGCGGTGGACTTTATCCCCGCCTTCGAGTGGTTCATGTAGGGGCAGGGCATACTGAGAGTTGATTGGGCGCGGACGCTAACCCTCTGGACTAGGAAGGCAGAGAGACCACTGGCTAGGCAGATCAGAGACATGGCCCAGGATTGGGAGAGCTGCAGGGCGCACTTGAGAGAGGCCTTTCGACGACCAGAGCCCCCTTAGCCCAGGGTTGAGAGACGTCAGAGGAGTCGGAGGCAGAGGGACCCTGAGCCCAGTGAGGCGAGGCCATCTCGAGGAGGTCGGAAGGCCCTAGCTAGGAGGGAAGAGGAGCCGTCGCCTGAGGTTGAGGAGCGAGGGGCCTATCCTGAGTGTGGACTCGGACCGGTGGAGTTCCATCGTTTTACCGAGGGTGGGCTGAGGAGGTCGCCAGTGCGCACACGGGAGGAGACGCTAGCATCTGAGGGGCCACTGAGAGAGTTGGAGGCGCACTTGGATGTCTCTCGGTGGGGAGCGTCGCCTCGCAGCGTGGAGTGTGGAGGACAGGCAGAGGAGATGCCACGAGAGGAGATGCCACGAGAGGAGATACCACGAGAGGAGGTGCCACGAGAGGAGGTGCCACGAGAGGAGGCCCGAGACACCCAGAGGGAGAGGAGACTGGGCGATGAGGGGAGACGTGCAGGGAAGGAAGTGATAGAGGTTGGGGAGGATACACCCCCTTAGGAGCCAGCTATGGGGTTGAGGCCTGGGAGTATGTCAGGAAGCACACATGAGAAGGCTGAGGAGTTGAGGAGAGAGGAGATCCCATTGACCTCACCAGAGAAGGCTCCCTCAATAGGGAGGAGAGCGGAAAGGAGAAGGGAGGCTTTGGTGTTGATTGACAGACACCTGGCAGCACATGCCCGAGAACACCCAGACTTGGAGGAGCCAGCACCTACAGAGCCGCGGTGGGAGCCATGCCAGCCCGAGAAGGAGATGGAGGAAGAAATCCTAGTGAGAGCCGACCATCGCACGAGAGATAGGGCGCCGACAGGAGAGACGGCTGAGGAAAAAAGGGCAAGAAGGGATAGAAGACAGGAAGAGATATGGCAGGAAAGACAAAGACTGGAGGCGGCGGGTGCTCTTCCTGATCAGCCACCCAGCACACCGGCCTGGACCCCTGAAATCTCGGAGATGTGGAGGGACTTCTAGGAGCAAAGGGGAGAGGGGCTTCCTTCGCCAACAAGAGCCGGATTCGGGGTAGCAAGGAAAGTAGAAGAGAGACTGGATCGCAAGATCAAGCTCCTGACAAAGACCAGTTTTGATCGGTATCTGATGCTGAAAAGCGATCTGGCAGGAAAGAAGATGAAGGAAGAAGGCCATGGAGTACGCCTGGAGACTATGGGGGTGGAAATCGAGGAGCTCAGGGCATTGGTGGCCAGTCAGGCAATGATCATCGCGGACTTGAGACAACAACTTCAGGGAAGGACGGACAGGCCGGAGAGCAGCCGACAGGGAGAGAAGAGGCAGCCGGGACCTGAGTTGTTGGGACAGCTACCTGCGGTGGAACCTCGCCAGGAGCCACCCATGGGGAGGGTCATCCTGGAGCCTGAGGAGGCTAAGGCCAAGAGGGAAGCGGAGAGAGAGGCCTTCGAGTTCAGGGCTCCTACTGAGCTCGCGACGCTGCCTACGGTAACGACGAAGCTCGTCATGCCATCGGCAGTTGAGGAGGGGCATCCACCATCCAGCAATGAGCCAGCTCAGGGCTCAGTAGAGGGATCCTTGGATGTAGTCCTTGAGGCGGTGGGCACGATGCAGGAGGAGGCGAGTCTGTTTTCGCCTGAGCAGAGGACGGAGGAACTGCTTGAGGGAGAGATGGGGGTTGAGATAGAGGACGTCGCTGAGGGCAGGCCCCAGAGGTTGGATACGCCTGAGTATGGGCCTGAGGGGATTGGGATTCGACCAGGGCCGAGTACCCAGGAGTTGGGGGCTGAACCCAGGGAGTCCGTGGACGCGCCTCAGAGTTGCGAGCTGAGCAGAGAGGCTAGCGAGGCACCATCATCGCCAGGATCCCAGAGGGGAAAGAAGAGATCCGGGAAATGGTTTGATACATCCTGCGTCTTTTTCACAAAGGAAGGGCATCGAGCCCTGCAATGCCCTAAATTCCTAAAGGACAAGGCTGAAGGGAAGGTCACAGAGGAGGGTGGCAGGATGTATGACAGACAGGGTAGGATAGTAGAGAGATCTGCAGATGGGGGTAGGGCTCAACTATATAGGCAAAACCAGGAGGAGATGAGTGAGTAGGACTGGGTTACCTATATGGTTGGTATGTTGTGTGTAGGACTAGAGTTAGGACCAGATGACGTCCTCTAGACTTAGATGTTTGCTTGTATTTGTCGGGCAGTTTGGATTTGGCTTTGTTGAGTCTACCACCTTGAGGACCAGGACTTGATAGATGAGGCATGTACATACTTAGGTGGCCTACACCCTGACCTTCGAGAGATAGACCCAACGTATACTCTGAGGACGACACCAGTGTGAGTGTGGAGTTGAGTGAATTGAGTGGACTACGGTTTGGAGACATTTTTGTACGGGATATCTTGTCCCTTGAGTGTATATTATGTCGAGACCTTTCTGGGACTACTTGTTGTATATGACGATCACTGTCACACTCACTTGTGTGGTCCTGCCTTGATGGATGATGGTTTGGTGTGAAATATGTGTAAGGAATATCTCATGTGTTTTGTACTTTGTGAATATGGATGAATGTGAACTGTCTACTCTTCAGTATACTCGTGCGATCTGCCCCAGGGCAGGTGATAGGGACGAGTATAAGAAGAGGAAGCGCAATCTGTCTCGTGAGGGGATGTGAAAATCTTGAATATTTGTATAATAAATGTTCTATTGTTGAGCCGTGCAGAGGACCCATAAGCTGGTCTTTTTATATGGATTGTGCGATGAGTGAGACACCCGTGACACCCGTGAATGGAAAGGTGGTCTGTTGCTTATTTGAAAGACGCATCTTCAGAGAGGAAAGGTATGTTAAAGAAGGGTCGCGAGAGAGTTCATCCTAGAAAGAGGGGGATGGATGAGAGACCCATTAAAGTGAGACCTCCTCTATATATACGAGGTGGTTAATAAGGTTAATAATTGGAAGACTGATTCTGAGCAATAAAAGACTGACGAGAGGGACCAAGTTTTGCTTGGCTATTGGTGGAATTCTTGGGCGTCGCAAATGGTGCATTTTGAGAGATGTCATCAGGATGTGTGGCTTTCTGACTCTCATCAAGTTGGGAGGCCATGACCTTGTGAACCTAGAGGTGATTTTGTTTTGTGATTATGGAGAGGTTGTCGTTCTTCCTCTGTGTCGTCCCATAGAGGGACTGGTAAATACCTTTTATGTGTGATAGACCTATGCGTAGTCCCGCAATAGGCCTGTATTGTTGCGACACACCGTCTAGCCACCTGTGCTAATCTTGGACATTTATGAGAGACCCAACTAGGGGTATAACTAGCATCACTAAAGCGTAACCCTTAGTGTTGGCCGTTGTTTGGCATAACCTGAGCAGAGGGTCTGCGTCTGGCCAAAGGAGTAAAGACTTAAAGGGGTGTGAACGCCTAAGCGAGTTTTACTCCTGCGGAGAGGCATGGGATACGAGTCTAGTCATGTGAGTATTTTTGAGGAAGTCCTGATTGAATGCTTATCAGGAACGGCCTATCGTGGCGTAACCCACGAAGGCACTACCGCTAAAATAACAACGCGATGGGCCGAAGATCTGGCGTGATCGCACAGACTATGGTGGGCCAGGATGGAGACCTAGTCTTCCTGTACTAGACTGCAGGAAGGTTTATGTGAAGATTTATGTGGTGTGCTTATATGTGCTTAATGTGAAGATTTTGAGAGGAAGGCGAGAGGATGCCTTCGAAGGTCTTGGTTAGGGCCCGCGCCCCTAGTCACGACTCTGTTTTCAGGGGAAGGGATAGGGACACGCAACAAGAAGCAGGCGATTGTCTAGGGCACAGGGGAGAGAACAATGAGAGGTCCAATGAAACTTATGCTGTAGTACAGTGAGGAGTACCCCTGCGTCCGAATGTCAGGGCGACGGAGACCCAGGTTGGAATCCTGGCAGCATAAAGTTGTGGTTGGCATGGATTATTGGAGGCCTCGAACCTGAGCCTGTCTGCTGATCAGATTGGTACCCTGCTCGTCAGCGTTTTGAGATTGTGGTTGAACTGATAGCTTTTTGATCCAGCGAAGCGACGGGGACGTCGCTTAATATGGTCCGATAGGCTGTCGGTGTGAGTACCCCGACAAGGGTACCCGCCCTGGGTATTTGCAAGTGACAAAAAATAAGTTTAGCTTAAACAAGTCTGGGTATAACGTGCGAGGCGCGGCGATGTCTGAGGGCTACGTCCGCCGAATAGTGGATCAACGTAGAGGGTGCGTGAGCACGTAAGTGTTAAAATGCACGGGTGATCTTTCCTTTTGAACGTAAGGCCGACATGTTTTGGCCGATGGTAGGGCTGGCGCGCAGGTAAGCGCGCGGAGGGGTCACGGTGCGGGATGGTAGGCCTGTGCGGGCACCTGGTGACCATGGGTGCAAACGGGGGCAGGGGCAGGAAGAATGGCCGAGGCGGTATTTCGACCATGGGCACCGCGCGGCGCCACCTTATATGGGTGGCCGCGCTTACGGGTATCAGGCGTGGGCTCAGCCCTATAGGTTATGGCATCAGACTACTACTACGGAGGTTTAGGGGTCGAGGCTGGTGGGCGTCGGCGTAATGGCAGCGGAGCGGCGGGAAACAAAGGGGTGAGAGTCCCGCAGGACCATCCCCCTTTTGCTAGTCGGGGGAGTCCGGTCGCGGGGCCCGCCCCTTGGTACCAAGGGAGCCCCGGTAGTCTCTCCCCCCCCCCGGCAGTGGTTCGGGTTGCCCTGGTTCTTTTTATGGCCCCGTTTCGGCTGGAAATTCGACGTTAGCTCGCGACCCACAACCCCGCTGGCAGACCGGGGGTAAGGGAGGCCGAACGGCTTTTAGCACCGCCACGGGGCATTACCCCGACCGGAGTCCATCGGGATATCCGTTAAAATTGGAACGATACAGAGAAGGTTAGCTTGGCCACTATGCGAGGGTGCCACTCGTAGGTCTGGGGATGAACCCTGGACGACAAAGGGGGCTCCGTGCGGCGATCTGCAACAAGACTGCTGCAGGTTGAGTGTTGGTCGGGTCAAGGCAAAGCAGTGGGAGCTGCGCCAGCGGCGACAGGCAAAGCTGTGCCAGGGGCCGATGGAAAAGGGGCCGACCGGTGAGTCTCCTGAGTATAAATCAGGGAGTGGCGCCCGACTGATTCACCAGTTCCTGCGGAAGCCATGCGGAAGCACCGTCTCAACGCGTAGTGTAGGAAGGTTGGCAGTATGCTCGAAGGCCGAAGTGGGAAGAGAGGAGGTAAGCGGGAGCAAGCCGGAGGCTGGATACAGTGGGCAGGCCACTCCGGGTGTTGGCACTGGCGGGCAACGAAGGAGCAGTCCATCGGGGCAGGGTGCGAACGTACTAGAATACGGACGGACGTGGACGGTGTACCGTGCCAGGTGCACTTGGCAATGAGATGGTAGGAGGTCGCTGCTCAAAGGCACATGCAGGTCGGCAGTGAGAGGAGTGAGGGCGCAAAGGGAAAGGACCAAGAGTTACGAGCGGGGAGGTGCGTTATTCGGGGGAGAGAAGGCCGGGAAAAAGAAGTTGAATGTGAGTGTGATTCCGCACCGGGTGCATGTGAGGGAAGCGAAGCGCAGGGAGGGCGAACACAAGCCTTGGCAGCAAAAAGCGAGAGGGGAGAACGTAAGCCCGCCTGACCCTTGAAGAAATCAGGCAGAAAAGGAGTCATCACTGAGGGATTAGCCTCGGGCGAGTCGAGTGGTCGTGTCATATTGGTATGAGAGTTAGTGGGATAGACGGTGAGAAGAAAAGAGAGTGCGGGGAGCTATGGCGGCATGGGAGTGACGGGGAGTAGAAAAACGAGATGCCACTCGATTCCGAACGAGATCAAGCGAGATAAGATTCGAGGTGGAGGTTTTTACCCCGGGCGAGATGCATGGTAGCGTTAGTTTGGTTGTTCAGTAAGTAGGGTGCGAGTGGGGTGGTGGCGAAATCAGATGTCGCAAGGGGGGTCCGTAGTAGTAGTAGCGTGCTTCTTCCTCGATTTTGGAAGAAGAGTTGTCTTGAGTTTTGCTCATTCTATCGGCTGAAGTAGCGTCCCTTTGGCCGTGAGGTTAGGATACTTACCTGTTGCCTGGTGCACAACTCACTCCGCCGATGGTTGTTGCTGCTCCCCATCGTTCGGCTCGCATGTCTGGAAGGCAAATGTATCTCCCCACGTTCTTGTGGGAGATCCGTTCTCATTTTACACACTGGCGGGCTGGGCAGGTAACGCCGGCGTGAAGCTGTCGAGGTATAGACGCGAGATCGTGTCCGACAGCGACCACGGACTGAGCTACTTGGATAAGGGATTAGCAAGAGGGAGAAGGGCGGGTAGCGGGGTGAGAAGCTTACCCACGAGGTATACGCTGCCTACTCAATTGCCGGCACAGAAGTAAAGTGAGCTGCGGGTTAGAGACAGGTCTGCAGGCTGGCGGGTTGGCTTTCCCTTCTCGTCCCCGACTGACACCAACAGTGATAGGCGGTTTGAAGGAGAGTCTGGTTGCCACAATCGATCTGTTACAAAACCGCGAGGGCATTTCGACTTGAGAAGATAGTCGGGCTACAAAGGGAGGGAGTTCGCAGTGGATGTCAGGATGCAGTGGGCTGTGGAACTGCGAACTGTGGACATTGGGTTGTAGAACTGCGAACTGTGGAGATTGGACTGTGGAACTGAGGATTAAGTACGGACTGAGGCTACTGGAGACTGTTGTTGTTTCTGTTGGCCGCCGTCGTATACAACTGCTGCTACTACTGACCAGGCACAGACCGCAACTGCATGCTCGACGCTAACTGCTGCTGGCCTATGCTGCTGGGTGCTGCGGTCGCATCGAAGGACTACGCATGGACAACTGCTGCATCTAAGAACCGCTACACGCTGCCGAGCGGCCACAACCGGGCAAGGCGTGGAGAGGTGATCAGACTGGATAGGGAGGGAGGGTAGTGTTGTGATTCCAAGGGTGAGTGGCAGAGCTTCAGATCCGAGAAGAGATCAAGCCTGTTAAAGGGAGAAGAAGGAAGTTCACTGGCCAGCGACTACGGCAGTATAGATCGAAGCAGACAACAGGGGGTTACTGCAAAGGCCTGTTTGTAGATACGAACGGCGGAGCTGACTACAGACTGTGGACAATGGATTGGGGCCTCAGTGTGTGGGTGAGAGGCTGATGGAAGGCAGGGCTGCTGCT